CATTACAGTGTATCCTTTTGTACACCATTAATGAAGAGAGCATGTGAGAAAATTTGGCAATCGTCGGAAATTTTATTCGTGGACGCCAGCAGTAACTGTGATGTTCAAAATCATAAAATCTACTTTTTTGCTACGCATTCAGTTGCTGGAGGTATACCATTAGGATGCATTATTTCTACCAGCCAAAAAGAAGAAGTGTTTGACGTAGCCGTTCAAAATTTAATTGACATTTATTCAAGCAAATTAAACCCAAGACTTATTTTTACCGATGATGATATGACCGAGAGAAAAGTTCTTCAGAAGTACTGGCCCTCTTCATCTTTGCTACTATGCATATTTCATGTATTAAAAGCTGTTTGGAAATGGCTAAACATTACAAAAAACTGCATCCCAAAGGAATCTCGCCAAGGACACTATCGTTTATTTAGAAATATTCTTTATTCCAAAAGTCAATTAGAACTCGATTCGAATTTAGAAACGTTTAAAAGAGAATGCAAATTTTCAAATTACGCAAAATATATCAAAACTAAAATTGATTCTGATTTACAATCTTGGTGCCTATTCTTTAGAAAAGGACAACTAACTCGTGGATCAGATACAAACAACTTTATTGAAGTAATGTTTAGGTTATTTAAGGATATTCCACTTGAACGCACTAAAGCCTACAACTTACCACAGCTTACTGATTTTGTTATTAGTGACTTTGAAAGTTATTACAAGCAAAGAATATTAGACTTGATTTTCAATAGGATTACCAGCGCCAGTATTAAAAGGTTTTATCCTTCACATGCAGATATGAATATAAATCAAGTACAGCAATTAAGTGATATGCAGTTTACCGTAAAAAGCAACAGTAATTCGGAGGAGTATTTTGTTGATATGAGTTTAGGGATTTGCAGTTGTTGTGTTGGAGAAAATGGTAAAATATGTAAACATCAATCTTTTATTATTAACCATTTTGGTTTTCAAAGTGTATGCAACTATCTTACCCAAGAAAATAAACTGTTATTTTATGAGATTGCCACTGGATCTAAACCTGAAAAGGAACTTTTTTTGCCATTGGAACTTACGGGAGTTTCAGAAGAAAATACTGCCACGTATCGAAGCGAAAATATTACACACAGAAATAGAGGTGGCATTAACCCCACTGAATTAGCAGATGAGATTCTAGAAATAAATAAATTAAATATGGAGCAAATGATATCGAGTGCCCAAGAAAATTGGACAAAGTTTATTCAAAAAATCGATCATGATGTAATGGAAGGGTTAAAAGACGACCCTCATGGTTTCTCGGCAGCAATAGATTCATGCACAACGTCATATACTAAAAATATAACATCATCTTCAAGCCTAATAAGTGGACTTTTTCAAATGTTCAAAAATCAACAATTTAGTACCCAAAAACATTTAAGAAAAACCCAAAGAAAAGGCAAAAAGATAAACGTCCAGCCAACATCTATCGCAAGACGGAAAACTTTAGTAAGTGGAAAAAGGCGCTGCCAAGCAGGTAGAAAAATGCAAACTCTTATAAAAAAAAGAAGCAAAGCCTCCCATTCTCTAAATGAATGTGTTAAACTAAATATTAATTTGGGTGACAATAAATTTTCAAAGTAGGTAGTTTTTTTTATTTTTGCTTGTTGTTTGTGATTGTTCATACCAAGAAATATATGTGTTAATTTTATGTGATATACAATAATCTGGTTTCATTTTGTATTCTTTTATTTACTTTATAATTTAGAACATCCCGCTAATTTCTTAAAGCAAAAAAAAAGTAAGGCTGCTGGACCGTATCGAACAACTGATACTGCACAGCAATGTGCAATAACGCGCGTCCGATATGACTTTAGTTCGAGTTGACGAAGTATGCAATAAGCTACGTCCGATACGGATATGCCACCCGGTGCTGGAATGCGGTACTTTATTATGGCAATCTTCGATATCCTTTAAATAGTTCGCCCATCCTGTATGTTTGTCATGACAATACGTTCTAAACAAACGACCGAGTTCTTTCATGTATCTCTCTGCGGGGTTGGATTTTGCATTTCTTATGGAAGCGTATGTGAACTGTATACCATTTTCCTTTAATTTGTTTTTCCATTTATTTGACGTAAATTGTGTCCCATGGTCACTGAGGATTTTCTTTGCGCCTATTGTCGGTACGACGTCCTCCAGTATGCGCTTAATTGCGGCGGCTGAATTTGCTTTCTTTAACGCGAAGAGTTGGACGTATTTCGAAAAGATATCAACTGCTACTAAAATGTATGTTACCCCCCCTCGTCCTTTGGGTAGTGGTCCGTAAAAATCAACTGCTACTAATTCTCCTACTTCCTTTGCAATAATTGGTTGTAGTTGTCCATGTGGTAACCTGTTCGGTCTTTTGGCTTTTTGACAGATGTCACATGTCCGTATGTATCTATTTACAATTTTTCGCATGTTAGGCCAGTGGAAGTATAATTTCAGCACCGTAAATACTTTTTCCCCCGCGAAATGTCCCATTTCTTGGTGATACTGATTTATTATCCTTTCTTGTAGATTCGTCGGTACGGCTATGGTTCGTAGATTTCTAAAACGGTCTGTGTGCAATAACACATCGTTCTCAAGTACGTAGTCTTCTAAGATTCGCCTAACGGTCCCAGCTGTTCTAAAATTCGCTCCCTCGATTTTACATTTAATTATGTCCGCTAAAAATGGGTCTTCTCTCTGTAATTGCGGTAGTTTTGTAAATTCCTTAATCAGTTCTTTCTCTCCTTCGATTGTAAAAGCGGCAACTATGGGTTCTTTTACTCTATGAATGTTTTTCAGATCCGCTGGGTACCTCGAAAGTATATCAGCGACAGTGTTTTCTGATCCTTTGATATGTACAATCGAGAAATCGAATTGTTGTAGAAACAGCATCCATCGAGTAATTCTTTCGTTGAGGAACCGACATTGTTTTAAGAACACCAAGGCATGGTGATCGGTTCGGACGACAAACGGGACTCCTTGCAGGTACAATCTCAATTTCTGTATGGCATAGAAAATGGCTAATAATTCCTTTTCCGTCGTTGTATAGTTTATCTCTGGACCCTTCAAGCTCCTACTCAGAAAACTGATCACCCCTCTGCGTCCATTTTCGAATTCTTGGAATAATACCGCGCCAATTCCATAATGTGAACTGTCCGTCTCCAAATAGTACATTCTTTTGTTGTCTGGATGTCTCAACATTATCGCTCTTAAAAATTGTTGTTTCAGTTCTATAAATAGTCTGTCTTCCCTTTCACCTCATTTCCAGGCTGTCCCCTTTTTCAAAAGTTTGTATAATTCATTCGTGTAATTACTGCAATTGGGGCAAAATCGCCAATAGTAGTTGCAAAGGCCCAAAAACGATCTAAGTTGTTTATGCTTCGTCGGTACTGGAAAATTGTAGATAGCGCTAGTCTTTTCAGGGTCCTTCTTAATTCCCTCAGGAGTAAGCAGGTGTCCTAGGAATTTTACTTCCTGTTGTACAAAGAACGATTTTTCTAAGTTGACGGTCATTTTAGCAGTTTCTAACCGTTGTAACACGAGCTTGATGTGCTTAAGATGTTCCTCAAAGGTAGGTGATGCTATTAATAAGTCGTCTATGTAGTTATGCGTGAAATGTCGTAATTCAGGACCTAGGACGAGATCCATACATCTAGAAAAACTTCCGACTGCCGTCTTGAGGCCAAATGGTAGAACTTTGAAGCAATAACTCCTCCCGTTGTATAAAAATGCCGTATACTTTTTGCTACTCTCTGTTAGTGGTATCTGCCAAAATGATGAAACCAAATCAAGGTTTGTCATATATTTTTGTCCGTGGAATTGTTGTAATATTTCTTCTATTGTTGGGGGGCATTCGTTATCGGCCATCATTTGTGCATTTAAGGTACGTGCGTCCAAACAAATCCTCACTGATCCGTCCTTCTTTTTCACAATCGTTATCGGATTTGAGTATGGTGAGATCGTTCTCTCTATCACCCCCTGTTCCATCATTTCTGCCAATTTTTCTTCGACGGCAGCTCGCAAAGCGTATGGTACGGGGTAACTCTTCTTGATAAAAGGTGTTTCTTCCGTCATTTTAATTTCGTGTTGATAAAGATTTGTCCGACCAGGTTCCTTAGAAAATATATGTCCAAACGAAGATAATAGCGCAAATAATTGTTCTTTCTGATTTTCATCGATTTTACATTCATTTGCCTTTTTGCGTAATATGCAGGTAAAGCCATCTTCTTGTGTCAGCTGTTTGCCTATCGTAAATATTTCAACGTCGTCGGGTTCTACAGATGGTCTTTCGGCGTCTTTTAGTTCGAAATTGGCACGCGTCTTGTTCCCAATGATCAGTACCCTTTCTTTGAAACAGATGGTGCACTTGTTTTCGTCTAGCCAGTCGCATCCGATGATACAGGGTTGTACCAACCCCGGGATGATTAAGCAGCAAATTTGGAATGTATGATCGTCAATCCTGAATGTGAGTTGTACTTGTTTCGTAATTCGTTTACTCTTTGGTCCAAATGCACCCCTAATTGAAATAGCTCGTAATGGTAATATTGGCAATATGTTGTTTTCTATGGACAATTTGTTATACAGCTCTTCGGAGATACATGAGATTTCGCTTCCTGAATCTACCATTGCTCGGATCGTCGTTTTTCCGAATATAATTGTGATTTCAGGTAGTTGTTGTTGATCGTTCGCGTTATCCTCGCCCTTCTTCCATTGGATAAACGTTAGTTTCGATCTGCGTTTATTGTGAGTTGGCCGTTGTATTTCATCACTGGAAAATCGTCTCTTGTTTGTCGGTGTTATAATTTCCTTGATCCCCTGTGCATGCTTTCCTAATCCCTTCCCTGGGATCCAACCCATTCGACATATGATTTTCTCGCCAATTTGTGGAGGAATCGGTGTTGTTCGTATTTTGTTGGCGATCGCTGACCAGTTGTGAAGGGTTTGTCGTTGATTATCCGTATGAGGCCTTGTGAGGAGCGTCGAACATAGTGGCCCTACTAGTTCGACCGTTGTTCGTTTCCCTTCTGTTGAGTATTTATTTGTCGGTGCGCGGTATTCGGTAATTCGGTTCTAATTTTCTTGTAGGGGTTTTGCGGATGATTCAGGAATGGTCGGCCTCGGTAGTGGTTGGGTCCTTCCGCGGAAATGTCCTCTTGCTGTCGGAGGAAGAGGGCGGCGTTTGTGAGTGTCTTGTTTTCTTTTAACATCCATAGAGATTGAATTGCAGGTGGGAAATGTCGCATCAAGTCGGCCAGTAGGATTTCTTCCGGGATGGGCTTTGTTAACAGGCGGGCCATCCCTACGTATTTAGCAAAGTGTCCCTCCATGGAATGGCGGCTACCGGTCATCCATTTGTGAGTGCTGATTTGGTGTCGGACTCTGTTTTGTTCGACTTCGGACCAGAAACAATCGAGGAAATCTCTTCGAAAATCTTCAAATGTCAACCAGGAAATTTTATAAATTGTTGACCAATCTTCAGCGGCTCCTACCAGCGCTTTGTTTACGACGTTCAACTGCTGCGCTGGTGGAATTTCCATTTTCTTTAAATAACTGTCGAGCTCCTCGATGAACTTTACGGGATGCTTTGTTCCATCAGATTTAAATTTGGGTACAATAGGCGAAGGCGATACGAAGACGGGACGCTCAATTCGGTGTTCGGTCCTACTGTCGGTTGTAGGACGGCGCGTACTTTCCTGGGTCTCCAACAACTTCTGTATTTCGGTTAACATTCGTTCATTGGTAGCTTGATTTTCTTTATGCATTGCAACTAAACTCCTTCCAATTTGAGCCATGGATTGTTGGTGGTTTTGTGCAAAGTCGTGGAAAGTGTTCCTGAGTCCTTCGGTGGTGGTCTTCAAATTGTCTTCAAGTTTTGCTATTGTCTCGGACAAGGGAGTCAGGTGTGGTCTCGGAGTCGTTGTTGTCCTCAATTGGGAATTGTTAGGAACTCGTTCGTTTCCCGCTGTGCTGTCCGATGAAGTTTCTGGTGATAAACAGAGTACAAGTACCAGATTTAATTTAAACTTACAAGTTACCTGAAAATAAGTTTATTCTAACCAATCTGCATCGATTTAAATTAACTCTATATCCTGGTCACGGCACCAGTGTGACCTACTACATACCAGGACCCGGGTATGTTTTATATTTACCTTCGTGATCGTCTAATTATTTTATATTCGGGATATAGAGCTGACGCTAGATTAGTTAGAATAAAACAAAAGTAAACCTTAGAATATATTTATTTTACCAATTCATGTATAATTATAAATACTATTTAAACCTAACCAGTTCAAAGCGGGTCCTTACGGAACCCCGTCTGAACGTGTAGGCCAAACCAACACCTGTAAGTAATTTATTTACTTATATATTAACCAGGTTGATATTCTCTGGGTTGAATTTCCCATAGCCGTATTACACGGGATTGGCCAGAGGTGCCGCCGTACTAGGATGCGAGGATCCCTTATGTTCTGGTTATGGCACATAACATCTTTTTATTCGTATTATACAGAGTGTCCGGTACACTGGCCAGAGGTGTCCCATTTGGGTCAACACATAACATCTTTTTATATTTAAGTGTCCGGATCACTCGAGAGAGGTTGGGATATTAGTTAGTAACGCCCATGTGGACATCCAACTCGGTAGTATATCAACCATAATTTGCGGGTCAAGTTAAATATACTTGTAACCCGACCAAAGAAGCCAAATGTTGAATTATGTTGGTATATGTCATTCGACAGGCTATGGCTCGGACCGTCCACTCAGACACGGTTCCGCAACTCCGTCGCTCTTCCCCAGGTTCGGCTCGACTAACCTGGTGATAAACAGAGCACAGGCAAGCTAATGTCGTCGGACGTTTCGGACTCTGTTTCGTTCATGATTTCAAATAAACGGGGTGTGCGATAATTAGGGTTTATTCGGGGTGTATGTTCGGAAGGTTTTTAAATGTTCCGTAACGGGTTGTCGCGTTCGTCTATGGGGCGTCAGGACTGGGACGGTTTCCCGGACTGCGCTCGCTTCGTCGAGGTGGTCACGGGTAGTCGGAAGACCCACGGTCGTCAGAGCTTCTCGGGTCGTCGCGGCTTCTCGGGGCGTCGGGGCTCCTAGGGACGTCGGGGCGTCGCGGGCCGTCAGGTCTTGTCGGGGCGTCGGAGTGTCGCGGGTCGGCAGCGTCTTCGGAGCTTCTGGTAGGCAACGGAGGGTAGCGTCGGAGTTGGCGTCGTCTTGTTCTTGGCAGGAACTTGGTTCGAAAACTGAACGATGGTCGTCTCGAGATCACCCTTTTTATACACGAAAAATCCGTGACGTATCGCGGATTTTACCCTGGTTCTCACGGCCATGTGGTAACTTGCTATCAACACTTGTACTTATCTAGTGTGATGCGCGCCACATTTGGGATCTTTTACAGAAAATATTATCTATTCGTTAATGTGTTTTCGGAATTGATAATTTTACTGGGTACCCGGGTCTGGTAGGTTACAGTACGTCACGGTATTAAGCTCGTATACCTTTAGAGCCTCATTCGGATTACAGCGCCACAGTATCCTCTGAAGTGGACGATGCGCTGGGTTTATTAACACCTGCCTACACATTTTGGCAACGTCCGCGGATAGTACATATTTGTATTTTCGAAATCGTAAAATAATAGAAAGTAAATCATCCTGCAAAATAGGACCTATCAATGGGCTCGTTCGACACTTTTTTTTTATTTGCTTTTTGGAAAGACCACACAATTTTAAGTCACTATGCAAAAAATCAGAATTAAATTCCATGTAGAAGTCACTTAAAAAGGCCTTAAAAACCGTCGCGCCGAGCGTTCGCTCGAATTGACTGTGACGTCACTGCATGCGTTGCGAGAACATATTTGTAATATAGGCTGTCGATTGATAATATTGAAACGCGCTTTTAGGGTTTTAAATAGGCTTAGGGAGTTTTAAATAATGACGGACAATAAATGAAAAAATAGTTATAAATATTGCATTGTTCCCAAATGTCGAAGCACTAGTTTTAAAACGCCTAATAAAGGCGCCTAAATACCTAAATAAGACGCCTTTCGCGCGATTTAAGAAAAAACAAATTGTGGCAAAAATAAATGAAAAGAAGTATATGTTGGTTAGTACGAAGTCAACACATTTTGTCTGTGAAGATCATTTTAATATAAGTATTAATTATAATAATTAGCTTGCTTAGTAAAAATAATCAAATTTTTTAGTTTGAAAACAATATGGAAAACTACATGTATTTTAAAACAATGGCTAATTCCCAATATAGCAAGATGTTGTACCTAATATCTTCGACTTCCAAAAAGTTCAAATCGTTAAACACACTGTACAAGCAAGAACAATATTTTTAAAAAGACAGCGGTAAACTACTATCGAGGATTTGTCTAGTTGTTCTAAAAGTACTCGGAATGAACAGAACGATGATATGGATGATGTGAATTTGACAATGGATAAAAATTTAAACAACACTATTACAAATGAGGCCTGTCATAAAAAATTTAAGTTTATATAAACATAATGCCCAAACTTTTTTCAAAACAAACTCAGTGTGATTTGACCCGTTCGGGACAGTTACCATCTGATTTTACTAGTAAATTAGATGACACTCTTCCTATTTAGAGAACATTATAAAAAGGGTAATACATGTTATAGAGCAAAATCCAAAACTTACATAGGTAGGTATTATAGTTATTATTTAGGTATTCCTAAATATTTTTACGTACATAATCTCATTAATCGATAACCAAAATATTATACTTACAATTAGCATTAATTATTTATTATAATTACCCTATATAATCAATTAAACATAGTCGTTAAAAAGACGAAACGATCGCGAATGCAATGCAAGTTAAGTGAATGCGAAGCGGACAGCGGAGAGATCGCATGCAGTGACGTCATCATCGTACTATCGCGGAGACAAATAATCGCATCTTTAAACTCGAATAATCAAAAAACCGCAGATCGGATCAACTTGAAACTTTCAGTAATAATTTTTTTTGACCTCTTCTTTATGTATATAAAGTTTGATCAAATTCTAAATTTTATCGAATGAGCCCATTGAATGTTATTGAGAGACAAATCGCTGGTAGTTGGCGCCGAGGCGTCAAAGACTACTCTGAGCTTTGTAGTTAAGCTTGTCTCTTTGAGCACGCCATGATGAGGCATGTAATACTTTACTTGAGAAGTTTCCTCGTTGGCAACTAGTGACATGTGATTCAAAGACTCGTATTCCGCCATGAAATCGTTATAAAAACCACGGAGCTTGTCGTTTTTTAGAAGTCGCTTTTCCAGCGCATAGAAACGCCTTTCAGCTTGTAGACGACTTTCCCCCAAATTACTCGTATCTTGTTTGAATGGCATGTTCACTACAAAACGCCCATCAGGTTGTCGAGTGGTAGTGTCCGCAAAGATCTGCTCGCAAGAAAGTTCCTCTTGGGACATGCATTTGTTCTCACTGAAATCCTCTACTTCCCAAAATCTCGCTAAAGTATCGAGTAGTTCTTGATTTAAGCTCAAATTACACGAAATATTTTTGGATTTAGGATCGCCAAATGAGCCGGATACGATCCAGCCGAACTCGGTGCTTTGAAGCACAGGCATATTTTTTCCTAAGGAAATTTTATCGTTACCCATAATTTGCCAAAACAGATCAGCACCAATAAGAACATCTATTGGTCCTGGCATGTAGAATTCGGAATCGGCTAAGGTTAGATTCGCAGGAAAATGGAACTTAGTAGCGTCGATCTTGAAATTTGGCAAAATATTAGAAATTACGGGCAAAACATAGAAAACTAGTTTGGTTTGAAATGAGGAATGCATAGATTTGATATGGGATTTTACATTCGATATGCCGAACATTGTTAAGTCAGCACCTTTGGTGGCAAGACTCAATTTAGCCAAAGCAGCTTGAGATATAAATGAACTTTGCGACCCACAGTCGAGTAATGCACGCATTTTGTGAAATTTGTTGTATTTGTCTTGAATATAGATATTGGCAGTAGAAAGCAAAACTTGACCGAACATGACATTACTGCTCAAGACATTTGAACTTGGACTCGGTTGAGTATTTTCTGGTGCATTACTAATGTTGTCTGGTGCATCATTATCGATATGGAGAAGCGAATTGTGTCGCAACTTGCACCTTCTACAAAGACCTAGTTTGCACTTAAAAGCGGAATGTCCTTCGCGTAGACAATTGTTACAAATATTGGAAGTTTTCTTTACAAACTGGCACCTTTCACTGATAGAAAGGTTTAAGAAATGTTCGCACGAATATATAGAGTGGGCACCCTTGCAGAAGGTGCATGTATAGCCAACACTGGAAACCAAAAACCGTGCAGTTTCCCTTTTAGGATTTTTGAAATATTCCTTTTCTTTACCTGGTTTATTATTTCCCTTTTCGTGCGTTTGATTGAGTTTATAGTCGAGCCTATCAACAAAATTAGCTCGCTCGCGCAAAAAATTAAGAAACTGATTGATTTTAGGAGGACCAGATTGACTTCTAGTTTGACGCTCCCAATAACCTAATGTGGCGTTATCGATTTTTTGAGAAACCCAAAATATTAGCAAACAATCCCAATTTGTGGTGGATTGCCCTAACTGACTGCTAATACTATCCGCCAATTGCTGTAATTTATCGTACGAACCCTTCTGCATCGAGTCGAGGGAGAATATAGCACCCAAATGGTCATGTAATAATTTTCTAGAATCGTTGAACCTCTCACACAACGTGTCCCACGCCAATGTGTAATTATTCGCGTTATACTGAACCCTTTTTATTGCAGCTGCAGCAGTACCTTCCAGAGCACCCCGCAGATAGAAAAACTTTTGAATATTGGACAAGGAATCGTTTTCGTGAATCAAAGTTCGGAATATATCGCGAAACTCCAGCCAATCTTCAAAATTGCCCCTGAATTTTGGCAAGGAGATCTCAGGCAGTTTTACTGTTTGATGTTTAAATGAAATTGAATTAGAACTGCTGGAGTCGGAATCTTTATATTGTTTTAATAATAACTTGGCATTACTAACGACAGAATAATAGTTATCCTGAAAGTTTTCTCTTTCTATTTGCTGTTCCTCTAATATATCGTCCTCACAATTCAATTCAATCTCATTCTGTATGGTACCAAATTCGTCAGAAATCTGTAGAATATTGTCAAGCCTGTCCTGTAATTCAATGACTTGCGTTTCTGACAATTGGCCTTTTGTAGATATATTTTTGAAATACTTGTTAAATACAGTTATTGAACTTTTCAAACAACCCCGCTTTCTTTTCAAAGTCGTTAAATCAGCCATTTTATAGCGAGCAATATTGAAAAATAGTTTACACAAATGTAGGAATATAGTTTAATGGTAATAGTTTATCGGAAAAAGGCAAAAATTGGGATAACTCACCCCTTATTGGCTTATTGACGGAGCTATCGCCTTTTTCTTGTAGATTTTTCTTGTTAAACGATGTGGATTGTCACTGATTTGAATATCCGCTGTCGAAGGACCATATGTTGATTGTGTTGAACGTTTATTAATTATTAATTATTAAAAGGAAGTGCAGAAAAGTTCAAAGTAAAAATGGCGGTCGCTGCACGTGCTCGTAACAAGTAAGTCTTTTTTTGTGCCGTCTCGCACCCGAATTCCTTAGGCGAGACGGGAGAACGCGCGCAGCTCACGGTGCTCTATCCAGGACGGAAAGTCCGCAAATTGTACGCTGGGAAGTACTGTGCAGGCCCCAAGTTAGGCAGGCCGGAACAGCATTAAAGAATGTGTATTGTAAACTGGTTCTTCTGGGTAGTAAATGTTTTCAGATTTTTTAATGTATTTTTTTGATCATTTTTACCGCTTTATTACCTAAATCCACATCATGTACTTTTTTTGAAAAGATAATACGCACAGAACAAGTAAAAATAGAAAATGTCTGTAATTTTCTTTTGCTAAAATATCTCTCAAAACAAAAATACTCGTATACAACATAAAGGTTCTAAGTTCTGAAGCTTTCCATCGATCAAGTTCATGCAATGAACGAGGTTTTCTATTAAATTCTTTCGGGAATACTTTCGCTAATTTTTCTAATCGACTTGAAGCCTCTCTTCTTAAGGCAGGTGCAACACTAAATTTTTAATTACTTTTGAACCAATAATTTAAAAGTCGTCTAATTACGCCCAAGCATGACATATGCATGTAATCTAGAGGAAAACCTTCTATCATATCGAAATCATGAATTTGTATTAACGGACTAACCCCTAAATGATGTTCTTGATTCACTTGCTGTATAAAAGATTCGTACGACTCCTAATTTCTTCATCCCCTGATATCGGATAGATAATCTTATTTTCTATTCTAATACCTTTAACATAACATTTTTCGCATCCGTAATATCCATTATGACCTTTAATATTCTTCAAATAGGCCCTAGCAGGTGCATCGCAAATTATATACTTTAATTTAAAATTTATAATTTTTCCATTGCAAGAAAATCCGTTTCTTGTTAATTTATTAATCTCGTTTATAAATTTTTCTAAAAAACTTTGCAAACAATTTGGCTTACCATCTCCACAATAAATTGCAATTGAGAACGGACATGTTTTATAATTTTCAATATATATTCTTCCCAATATTGGCCAAAACTGTTTAGACGTGCTTTTATGAATTGGCAAACCATCTACATTACATATTATGTTTATACAATTATTTTTTATTAATGCATACTGTGTGGGAACCTACCCTCTACTGGCAATGTCAGTTGTCATGTCAGGTGTCAATGGCATAAAAAGAGAGGTTAGGTTAACACGCGGAAGGTAGTAAAAATAAAGACCAATACAACACATGGTGTCAGGTGTTAAATAAACAAAATTATGGCGGAATCAAATGAAGCGAGGCTCGAGAGGGAGCTCAATGAATTAAAGCAAATAGTGGCAACAATACATGCCCAAGGCATCGGCGAACAACCAGTTCAACCCGTAAATAATACTCTGGTTAATGCAATTCCAATGGTACAGAAATTTAGTTTCGATAAAGCGGATTGGCCGCAATGGATCGCACATTACGAAAGATATAGAATAGTGGCTGGTTTGGATAAAGCGGAGCAAAAATTGCAAATTACAAACTTGTTGTTACATATGGGTCCTGATGTCAACGGATTATTGGATAAGCTTAAAACGGGCGAAACGAAACTGGAGACTTACCAGGCAGCAAAAACTCTGTTCGAGGATCATTTCAGTAGCAAAAGAAACATAATATACGAAAGGGCAAAATTTAACTTGAGAATACAACAGGAAGGAGAAACAGCTAGAGAATTTATTGATAGTTTGATATCCTTAGCAAAATCTTGCAATTATGAACAGCTGGTAGACGAATTAATTAGAGATCGGTTGGTAGTCGGAATTCGAGATCATAAGCTGTCGGAGACATTACAGTTAGATGGAACATTAACGTTGGAGAAAGCTATAGAGAAAATCACACAGTCTGAAACTGTAAGAGAGCAGAATAAAGAATTGAGAGAGAAAATGACTAAAAAGTTGGAAAAAGTAACTCGAAAAGGGAAAAATTGGGATAAGAATAGGTATGAAAAGCGTACATGGAGCGATAAGCCTAGGATGACAAAGACAGGTGTGCAAGACAAAGACAAATGTTCAAGATGTGGCAGTGTAAATCAACATCAAACAAGGAACTGTCCAGCAACAAACGAACGATGTGCACGGTGTAATATGAAAGGACACTACGCAAAAATGTGTAAGACTGTTTGGGTAAAGAATGTTTCTGTGGAATCAGAAGACAGCAGTGAAACATCGGGGACATCAGATACAGATTCCGAAGATTCGGAAGTGCAAATTCCAGAGATACGAAACATAAGTGCGGTATGTGAACCGTGGACGGTAAAACTGAAATTAGCGAATCAAGATGTGTGTTTTAAAGTGGATTCGGGCGCGGATGAAACAGTGATCACAGATAAGACTTATAAACTAATCAAAGACCGATGTGATTTAAAATCAACAGATATCAAGTTAGTCGGACCAGGAAAGGGTAGAAAAGCAGAATTGAAAGTAAAAGGAGTCATTAAAATGCCAATCGAATGGAACGGTATGTGCAAAACAATTAAGATGTTTGTGATTAAGACATCAGAAAACTTATTAGGTCGACCAGCAATAGAAGCACTGGGAATTATTGACTGGCAAAAAGATAAGAAAAATATTAACAAGATTGCAAGTAAGAAGTAGTGGCGAAAATTTATATACAAAAAGTGATATAAAACAAGCTTACCCACAATTGTTTAATGGGCTGGGTAAATTTAAAAATTATAAACATTCAATTACCATGAAAAGAAACGCGGAGCCAGTGGCGGTGCAATCGCCCAGAAGGGTAGCTATACCCCTTTTGGAAACAGTACGTAGGGGGCTGCAGAGTATGGTTCAGAAGGGTGTTATTGTGGAAATTAACGAGCCGACGGAGTGGTGCTCGCCGATGGTAGTGGTGCAGAAGAACGAAGGAGTTAGAATTTGTACAGACTATACCGAATTAAACAAATCTGTCGTAAGGGAGAGGTACCTTCTTCCGACTGTGGAAGAAACTCTGGGGAGATTAGAGAATGCAAAGTATTTTTCTAAGCTTGATTGTGCAAAGGGATTTTGGCAGATACAACTGGAGAAAAATAGCCAAAAATTAACTACATTCATCACACCCTATGGCAGGTTTATGTATAAGAGATTGCCGTTTGGAATTTGTAGCGGACCTGAAGTTTTTCAGAAGGTGTTAAACAACATTTTTATTGTAGAAAAAATGGAGGGAACAGGTCTTGTTCATGCTGACGATATTCTAGTGAAGGGAAACACAGTTGCAGAGCATAATGAAAATTTATCGAAGGTTCTTCGAACCTTGGGAAGGTACGGTTTGGCGTTAAACTACGATAAATGTGAAATTGGACTGACCGAAACTAAATATTTGGGGTACCACATCAGCAGGCACGGTATTAAACCCGATCAATCCAGTCTTGGAGCCATTTTAAACTATAAGTCACCAGTTGATAAAAGTGAGGTTAGAAGATTTCTGGGTATGTTTACATATTTTTCCAAGTTTATAGACAATGCATCGACTAAATCACAAATTTTAAGAGAACTTTTACACGAAAGGAATACTTTTGTATGGACCGAAACTCATCAACAATGCTTCGAACGACTAAAAAACGAAATTATTTCAGCTCCAGTTTTGGCAATTTATCAAACCAATAGAAAAACAAGAATTAGTGCAGATGCGAGTTCATATGGGATTGGGGGAGTGTTGGAGCAACTACAAGAAGATGGCACGTGGAAACCGGTTTGTTTTTGCTCTAAATCCTTGAGTGAAGCGGAAAAAAGGTACGCCCAAATTGAGAAAGAGGCATTGGCACTTACAACAATTTCTCATAGGTACAGAATATATAATGAGAACTGATCACAAGCCCCTTGTTAGCATATTGATGGATAAACCTATAAATCAATTAACAACGAGACTACAAAGATTTCGTATGAGGCTAATGAAATTTAACTATAGAGTCGAATATGTTCCAGGAAAGGAGTTTTATGCTCCAGACGCGTTATCCAGGAATCCTTTAAATGAGGGAACCGAGGACGTAGATATAATATTAAAAGAGGAGGAGCTGGGAATAATAAACACTATCGTCAGAGAAATAAATATTTTGACAGGGAATACCAATAGCGAAATTCAAGAAACACAGGAACGGGATGCGGTACTGCAAACAATTAAGTTGTATGTTCTTCAGGGGTGGCTGGAAAAGCAGAATTGTAAAAGGGAGTGTTTAGTGTATTACAAATACAAGGATGATATAGCACTTCAAGACAAAACGTTAACATACAAAGAAAGGGCTATAATTCCACAGGACTGCAGGAAGAGGTACTTGGAATATATACATACGGGCCATTTCGGATTGAACAAATGTAGAGAAAGGGCAAAAACAACAGTGTGGTGGCCTTTTATTATGAGGGATATCGAGGAGAGACTGAAAAATTGCGAGAGATGTCTGATAAATAAGAAGCCATCAGTAGAACCGATGCTCAGTTTAAATATTCCTTCGCTGCCCTGGCACACGTTGGCAGCCGATCTCATGGAGTAGAGAGGTAAAACATTTTTTGTTATACAAGATTATTACAGTCGTTGGCCTGAGGTGTTTCAATTGAGAGATTTAAGAGCCGATACCGTCATCGGATGTTTCAAGAAAACATTTTCAAGGTTCGGGGTCCCAAAGATTCTCAGGACGGATAATGGCAGACAGTTTTTCAACGCAGATTTCAGATGTTTTGCCAACCAATACAATTTTAAATTAATCACGAGTAGTCCGATGTACCCACAATCTAATGGTCAGGCAGAGTCGGCGGTGAAGAATATAAACCGTATTTTAAAGAAAAACGAGGACTTTGAACTAGCCATGCTGGCATACAGAAATACAAATTTACAGTGCGATGCATCACCAGCGCAGCTGATGATGGGCCGAGTGCTAAGAGAAACAGTGCCAATCATGGAAAGAACTCTAAGGCCGGAACTACCCGACCATGACAAGATAAATACATATTACAAGGAGGAAAAAGAGAAACAGAAGAACAACTATAACAGGAGACACAGAACAAAGGATTTGGAGGAACTGGACGAAGAAGCTAGAGTCTGGATCATCACTGAAAATAAGGAAGGAAAGGTTGTAAGGAAAAGACAGGAACCGCGATCTTATGATGTGGAAACTACAGAGGGAAGAGTGCTTAGAAGAAATAGGAGACACTTGGAACCATTACCAGAAAGACCTTTGGATGAACCAAGTTCGTCAAGAACTGAGGAGGAGGTTACGAAAGGAAGACCAAAAAGAAATATTAGAAAACCTGAATATTTAAAGGACTTTGTTTAATTGTGTATTTTAATTCGTTACAATGTTTTCATGTTTTTCGTATTTTGCTGTTTAGTTGTTTGCTTATGTTTGTAAAGTTAAAAGAAAAGGAGATGTGTGGGAACCTACCCTCTACTGGCAATGTCAGTTGTCATGTCAGGTGTCAATGGCATAAAAAGAGAGGTTAGGTTAACACGCGGAAGGTAGTAAAAATAAAGACCAATACAACACACATACTTTGTCTCAATAAATTGTTCAATTTTATCTTCTATGCTTTGATAATACTTTCAGCAAAGAATTTAATTGTTTATGATTTACATTTTGGCTTATAGCCCAAATCCATAAATCATCACATAAAGTTGGTATGGTTGAAAAGAAGATTGAAAAGACATGGCTAATACTAGAAACATCTGAAATCACATTATCCGTGCAACTATCGTTAGTTTCAACCGCATTTTCTAGCATATGAGATCTGACCTCCGTGAATTTATTAATTTTATTTGTCTCATGTAACTCAT